TAGAATCCAAAAACTCTCTAAATCATGAAGATCAAAGATCAAAAAATGAATCACCAAATCATGAAAGCCATCACAGATCAATTCTTGATCAAATCAAGAACACCCGCTCTGATACCAATTGTAGTGGTGTTGATTATGATGACATGTGCGGAATAAGAAAAGATCTAGTGAATCATCATGTAAACTCAAGAACACAATGAGTAAATAAATTTGTGTAAGCTCATATTAGATCTAGAAAAGATATACAAATGGGTTTGTACAAATTTCCCTCTCTAGTCTAACACTCCAAAATAATCATTACTAAATACAACTCATTTACACATCAATAAGGGTAAGCCACATCCAAGCGTGACTTTGCACCCGAACAATATTTATTATTCTTATGATACTTTCTTTTTTAATTTTCTTTCTTTTTACAGAGGACGTGAAGTTTTTGTTACTCTATGGGGACGGTATGCTAATGAAATTGTTGCATATGTTTCTAAGCATCCTGGTCATTTTGTATTATTGATTCAACTTGCTCAAGCTTATCCAACGTACGTATTTACTAAGTTATTAATTTGTAATATTTATATTCTTAACATATCTATGATATGAAATTATGAACAATCATAAAAAGAAATAAACATTTCAGATCGTCCATATGTCAATAACACCTACTTGGTTACAAAACTTTTAATTGAAGAAGTCATTGAGGAGATAACCTCTTTTAAAAAAAGGTATTATGAAATTTCCACATGATTTCTCATTTCATTTTATTGTTTTATTAATTCATATTTATAATATCTAACATTTATTAATTGGTACAATAAATAGTTTACAAGCAAGAAAAAACTCTTGGACTTCTTCGATCCCACATACCTTGGGATCATTCATCATGTATTCAATACATGATAACTTTCTTCTAAAGAACTTTTTTTACCAAATATCTGTTATTCACGAATTGAATTAGATACATAAATTATCCCCCTTTTAATTTACTTAATCCAATACTTCAATCTTTACCACCCCTAAATACATCTACTATCATAGGGAAGTTGTGCGGTAATTCTTGGTATAATAAAGATGTTTGAAGATACCAGTTCTATAATGCTTGCACAAAATGCAAGTCAAAGGTTCAAATACTTAAGGTTCTAAATGAGACTGAGTTTGAAGAGAAAGAGATTTTGGTGTGTCAAAAGGACAATTGCAAGGGCAAAGAAGTAATTGTTGAACTAAGGTGTGTAACAAATAATACCTTTTTACATTAATGTTCACTAATTTTATATTTCTTTTTACTTTTTAATATTTTATATGTTTTTTTGAAGTTTTATGATCAAAGTTCGAGTTCAAGGTTTAGTTGGAGTTGTCAGTCTTACAATGTTTGATCGTGAAGTTAGAAATCTTCTGAAAATATATGTTCCTGATTTATTATCAAGATATGAAAAGGTATATGTTTTTTATAATTAATACCATATTGAATTATAAAAATTAATTTTTATACATTTATTTAATTGTTATTGTTTATTAATATTTTTTTTAATTCGGCAATCAAACTGTTGAGTTGAACGCCATGCTCGATAAAAAATTGGCTTTCAAGATTCTTGTAAAGACCTTTAATTTTAAAATATTTGGTCGTACTTACAACATTTCCAAGATAACAAATAACGTTGATATTATTTCTGCTTTGGAAAAGATTGAGAAGAAGAGTAGGATTGAACTGGTCAATATACACTACCTTAATTACTTTACTACGTACGTATTTTCAACATACTATTTTATAGAATCCTTAATGCAACAAATTTTTATTTACCCATCATTTTATAGGACATGGATAATGATTCTATTGATGTAATTGACTCAGAATTTGCATCTCAAGACACAATGGGTTGTAAGGTACACTACAATATTGTTTCATTTTTATATATATTATCCTTTTCATTACTAATTTAACTTTTTTTCTTTTTTAATCTAAGGGCGCTAATTCTCACACTGCTGATAATACTCATGTGTCGAATATTCCATCTCGCATTTGTACAAGTCCATCATCAATAACCGCCACCAATAAGCTCAATTCATCACCTACAAGTGTCAAATGTAAACTTGTAGATGTTTACGATCTTGATGATAACGTTTATGAATCAGCAACGAAACCTAATGCACCCCGTAACGGAGATGACAAAGTTGGTGGAACAACCAAATTGTTGATTTCTAAACTGAAAAAGTGATGAAGACATAAACTTCAATTTTTCTTTGCTACTCATTGCTACCAGAGACATTTTTTTTAATATTTCCTACTTTTACTTGCATTTTATTTGGGATTTTAATATGTTGTGTTTGGTAAACTATGAATATTAATTTGTGTTATCTTTTACTTTTTTATTTAAATAAAAGGCAACTGGGATTTAGTTGTTTATTTGTGATATCTTGCACTAAACAAAATAATAATAAATAAATAGATAAATAAATGGTTACCCTCCTTCTGTTTTGTGTGTTTGTGTATTTGAAGCCAATTGTTTTTTTCATTGACTGTTAATTAAGGTGTAAGCTATAAGAATTAATTTTGTATGGTTTTTAGTGGCCCACCAACTAAATGCTATAATAATTAACATTTGTGCACAAGAAATTCAAACAAAAGAGAGACAAAAACGGATCTGAAATAGCAGGGGAAAGATTACTTTTAGTGTAATCAAAAGGACCTGAGTTCACAAAGGTAACTAACATGAAAAAACAATTAAATAAAAATACTACCCAAAATGCCCCTGAGACTATTTTGTCCCGGATTCTAAATTACTCATACAATAAAGTCCACTACCTAAATAATTACTCGCCCAAATTACCCTTACTTGATTGATCATAAAATTATGTTTCTTTCTGGACAACTTCTTTTGTATAATGCTCACCATATCTGAAGATGAAGCATCCGTTGGACCCTTGTCTTCTCTAACACGAAGTAAACGTGGGAATCGCAGTGAAATACTCTTTTTTTGTTTAAAATTAAACAATAAAAAAATATCAATATGCGTGTTCCGGTTATGTTGCTAAGATGAAACTTTATACTCCCCTGATGTTCTAAATGGTCTTAAACCTTCAGGTATGCCAATTCATAAGTTGATATTAAAAGTCGGTGTTCCGGTTATGTTACTAAGAAATATTGATCATAAATCTGGATTGTGCAATGGAACGAGGCTACGGGTTATTGCAATGGGTAAACGTGTTATAGAAGCTTAGATAATATCTAGAAGTAATATCGGAAACCGTACGTTTATTCCAAGAATGTCTTTGACGCCTTCGGATAAAAGGATTCATTTCATATTTCAAAGACGACTATTCCCCCTAGTTGTATGTTTTGTAATGACAATAAATAAAAAGTCAATGACAGTCACTATCGAAGGTGAGGTTGTTTTTTAGACAACTACTAATCACTCATGGGCAGTTGTATGTTGCATTGTCGAGAGTGAAGAGTAAAGATGAATGTAAAATATTAATTTTAGATAAAGATGGTAAACTTACAAATACGACATCTAATGTTGCATTTAAGGAAGCCTTTGGAAATTTGTAAGTCTTAAAAATAAGTTTCAATATTTCAATTGCGGTTTTTATTATTATACATTATCTTACCTGCTTATTCATCATTTTGTTTTTATATATTTAGCAAGTTTTATTTAATTAATGTTTAATGTTCACAACATTATTGTTATCATCATTTTATAAATACATACGTCTTTATTTTATTTGTTTGTATATCGAAATAGTTAATGTATTCATTATATATTCTTGTATTATATATTCTTGTCTTTCTGTAAAATTATTACTAAAAAAACATGTAATGCTTAACAATATATATTATTTTTTTTTAAAAACTCGTGTATTACACGGGTCTCACACCTAGTTGTCATAATAATCCATAAATATCTTATAATCTAGGTTTTTTAAAGGAAAATATCCATAAAATTCTCATTATTTTGGGAAAATTAACGATTACGTTCCAAATATTTTTTTTAATAGAAAAATTCAAGAAACCGGCTAAACCTTACACTTTAACCTCTTATCAGCATACCACCTTTTGCCACATGGCATGCAAATTGGACGGGTGCTAATGTTGGTGTTGACGTGGCAAACCACGTTAGCGTTTACTTATTTGATATGAAAAATCGGATTTCTTTATTGAAAGGGCGAATCTAGGATTCCAACCCATTACCTCCCACCCTATTTACACTAGGCTAGAAGATTTTCATTATTTTATTCCTCAAAGTTTGTATATAATACTTAAAATATGACAGTATACACTTATTATTATTATTATTATTATTATTATTATTATTATTATTATTATTATTATTATTATATTTAAAAACGTAAACAATTATTATACTTCATAAATAAATATATTAAATGTGTAAGCATATTTATATGTATTTATATGCATTTTTTATTTTTATATATTTTTTTACGTATTGATGTATTTTTTTAAAAGTATTGTTATATATATTTTTATTTATTTTAAATATATAAATATACTTTTTACGTATTTATATGTATTTTATTTAATTTTTTATTTATTTACATATTTTTAAAGTATTTGTATATATATTTTTTACGTATTTTTATGTATTTTAAATATATAAATATATTATGTACGTGTTTATATGTAATTTTATGTGATCTTATATACTTTTGAAAAAACATCGTAAATGGTCCCCGTGGTTTCCCAAAATCTGAAGTTTAGTCCCCGTGGTTTAAAAACGTCATAGATGGTCCCTGTGTTTTCAAAACTTTTGACAATTGGTCCTTATTGCTAACTCCGTTAACTTTTGTATGTTAACTGAAGGGCATTTTCGTCATTTCACTACCACAGGGACCATTTATGATGCTTTTTCTTATTTTTTTAAAAAAGAAAATAATATGCAAAGGGTCTCTCTCTCTCTCTCTCTCTCTCTCTCTCTCTCTCGGAAAAACACCCCTTTTAGTCTCCCCCACCCTATTCTTCATATTCTCGTGTCTATTCACCAACAACCTCCATTCCCTTATGTCCATCATTTTTCAATCCCTTGACAGTTATTCAAGGGAGCTAGTGGGTTTCTTGGTGCAGGTTACTGAGTGAGAAAGAGAATCAAGTGAGAGAGGGAAGAAATTTAGAACAGAAAATAGAACAGGGTTTGTGATTCGATTCAGCCACCGCTAGTGACAAAGTTTGATCAGATCGATTCAGACTCTTTTCTGTTCGCTTTCGTTCATCATTCTACTTTCATGTTCCTTTTTATAATTTGTCGCCTGTAGATTGGATTTGGTTATAAGGAGGCTGTGAAAATTTTGTTTTTTGTATTTGATCTGAGCATCAAATTGGGGAAATGGTGAAATTTCATCCTGTATCTTGGCGGGGCAACCGTTGTTGCAGCCATGGCGG